AAATAAATAAATAAATAAATAAATATATATATATATATATATATATATATATATATATATATATATATATATATATATATAATAGAATAGAATAGAATATAAACATATTCATTACTGTAACACTTGTGTGTACATTTATATTAAACTAAACGGGTAAATATATAGCATACCTAAACATAATTATACAAGTGTGATAGTCATTATTAAACCATTTACAAATATACAATGGGATATGTATGGTATACCAATATTTACGTTTATCTGTATCTCTCGTCGCTTATGTATATATATATATATATATATATATATATATATATATATATATATATATATATATATATGTATATATATATATATATATATATATATATATATATATATATATATATATATATATATATATATATAATGTGTGTATGTGTGTGTGTGTGTATATGCATGAAAATGCAACAATTATTTTGGAACATAAAAAAGGAGATAGAAAGGATCTCAAAAACTAGTGACCCATAAGCCTCCTTTCAGCTACTTACAAACTGTTCACAAAAGTCATCACAACTCGCTTCTCTGAGTTCTAACCAGCTTCAAGAACAGGCAGGCTTCTGCAGTGGATTCTCAACAACAAACCAGATCCACATGCTCACCCAAATAGGAGAAGAAATATGAGAATATAGGAAACTCCTGTGTATGGCATTTATCGATTACGAAAAGGCATTTGACTGTGCAAATACCAGCAGTACTAGAAGCTATTCGAAGACAGGGAGTAGAGGAGGTATGTTGTAAAATATTGGAATATATACGAAGATAAAACAGCAACCTTTAAGCTCCACACGGAAACCGATAAAATACCAATTAAAAAGGTGTTAGGGCGATACCATCTCACCAAAGCTGTTTAAAGCTTGCCTTGAGGAAATATTCAAGAAACTAGAATAGAACGGAAATGCTATCCAAGTAGGAGAGGAATACCTAAACAATCTAAGATTTGCAGATGATATTACTCTTTTCAGTGAATCTGTAAATTAATGGAGAGGAAACTAAGAAATGACCAGAGAGGAATGAAGAGGTTGATGCAGGGAATTAGCCTAAGAGATCGAATGAGGGCGACGTGGATCAGGGAACAGACTAAAGTAGATCAACTCAGGAACATCAAAAAGAAAAACTGGCAATGGGTAGGTCATATTTGTCGGAGACAGGATAGCAGATGGACAAAGAAAGTAACAGACTGGGTTATAGATAACATAAAACGACCAAAGGCCAGACCAATGGCAAGATGGAGTGACGAAATAACGAAATTTGGGGGCCAAGACTCGTGACAAAAAACGCAAGACAGGCAAAATTGGAAAGTATTGGGAGAGGCCTACGTCCTGCAGTAGATTGGCATATATATATATATATATATATATATATATATATATATATATATATATATATATATATATATATATATATATATATACATACATACATACATACATACATATATATATATATATATATATATATATATATATATATATATATATATATTTATATATTATATATATATATATATATATATATATATATATATATATATATATATATATATATATATATATCAAACCCTCACTTCTCACATATCTATCCATACTTGCATAATTGGTAAATAGGGCCAATATTCGCAGGACATATTTATTTTCACATATTCATTACTGTAACACTTGTGTGAACATTCATATTCAACTCACTGTATAAATCTACAGCATACATGAACATGATCATACAGGTGTGACAGTCGTTATCAAACTATTTTCATACATACATGCATTATACTTACATTACTTACACCCATCCTTCATTCTTTACTCGTATATATACACATACATACATACATACATGCATACATACAGACATATACATTATACTTTAATATCCCTACATAACTTCAAATATACAGACACATATATACATTATACTTTAATATACCTACATAACTTCATACATACATACATAGGTACGTACATAAATATATACACATAAGCGCCACACTAACACCTTGAGATCACTGACCCCCCCCCCCCTTCCCCCCAATACACTTTTACACTTATGTTCGGCGTGTCCTTTTCTTATTCGTCGATGAGACACATTTCCCTTACTTTGTGTCGACTCTTGGAGGCTTTACCGTAAATGTCATTATTTGGGTAAGTTGTGTTTATTACTTGGTGTTATTATTATAGCGTATTTTATTATTTTATATGGTTTTGTAAGTTCTTACGTTTTATTTTTTAATAATGTGTTTATACATCTTCAGTAAAGCTCATATATACACCTGTAAAAGTACTTAAAAGCAAAAAGAATCCATCATAAAAAGAATGAGAATAATGAGAATACTACTGATAATAACTACAATAAAAAACATCAACACATATTGCAAAAAAAAAGTACAAACCACTCGAATATCCAGACCTTCATCAAAGTCTCTCAAAGTCGGAACCAAACTCACGTCTCGCCGGATCAGTGTCGGATGTGGTGTGATGTAAAACCAAGGGACGTGTTAGCGATAGGTGTCTTCTTTTCACCTAATTTTAATATTTATTTACATAATTACAGCCTCTCATTCACCGTAAGTATGATTTATTGACGTGGGAAGTTTTATGTCTTTGTAATTTGTTGGAGATTAGTTTAGTTATGAATTAATAACGTGTTGAAGTGTCAGGTTTGTTTTAGAGGTATTATTTTTTTATGTGATTTTCTTTGTTTTTCTTCACAAAATACGTCGGGTTTTGGCAATAATTGCTCACCTCGGATAGAAATTAGATGTAAAGCTATTAAGTAAGACTGTATAGTATTAAGACTCGATTGTCATTTCAAATTTGATTTTTTGAAAATTTGTGTATAGCAATTAGTCCCTTTTTTAAAGTCCTATTATACATTTTCTCATATTTTAATTGGAGATTTTTCCTTATCGATTAGTCACTTCCTTTATTTTAGTCCATAAAGTGACATTTCTTCACTCATTTCTCCTTGCTGACAGAAAATGACAAAGCTCTTCGCCTGCCTTCTCCTCCTCTGCCACTTCTCTTCGCTCGCGTTGGCGGAGGATTTCTACGAGATGCTTGGGGTTTCCAGGAATGCGGATGAGAGGGAGATCCGCAAAGGCTTTAAGAAGAAGGCCCTCACGTTGCACCCCGATAAGAATACGGTAAGCTTTATAATGTTTGGTGTTGTGGTGCGGATGTTCTGTGCTTGGGGTTAGTTATGTCCTGATTTGGTTTAGTGAGGAAATGTCAGTGGTCAATTCACAGTGTTTTGGGAAATCAGATGTTTTCCTGTAATGGTAATGGTTTTATTCTGTGCAACTTTACTTGAAACTTCCAGGATTGGTAGTTTTTAAATTTCACACAGTCATCTAATCTTGCAGTTATTATTCTGTCTTTCAGTTATCTGTGCTGTAATATCTGCCAATCTCTTGTTTTTTCCATTGCAAATGATATAATTGTAATTATTGGTAATGCTTATGAAGTGACCTTACCCCTCTGAGATTAAGTCTGAATTACCTCCAGCCATTCATTGGAAATCCAGGAACATTGCTTTATGAACCAAAAACCTTCCTAAAAAGGGGTATGTCCCTAGACTCCCATCTGGTTGCCATATTTCCCTATTGAGGGCTCCACCCCTTACCCAACCATGGCATTTATCAGGACCTATTTTCTTCATTTCTGATGTTATTTGTTATCTACACAGATTATTTAATGTATCAACAAGTGGTTTTCTCTTTGATTATTAGAGTGCCATTATATTTTCCTGTAGAGTGCTATGAATATCGATGGTGTTATTTTTATTATAAACATTATAATTACTATTATATTATAAACATTAGAAACAGCAAAATAATATAACATAAAATATTTTTGTAAATCAAAGAAAAGGGTGAACGGGTGAGACAGGCAGTGCTCGTAATTAGTTCATTGATGACTTAGTACAAGTGTAGCCATCTATGTATAAAAAGAATCAAACAAGTAAACTCACATGGCATATACATACACGTCATTCCCATCGGCATTAGGTTAAATTACTTGGCTAGAAAATAGGTGATAATTTTTACATCTTGATGTATTAAAATTCTCCTCAGGATTAATGAAAGCAATAATCATGCTTTAAGGTTTTTTGGTTAAAAACTTAAAAAATAAAATTTTATTCATGAATTTGGTTTTGAAGTTGGGTAAGTTTTTTTTATAGTTACTTTTTTAGTGATTGCACATACGTGTGCAGTAAAAGAGCAAGGTTTTGAACAGAATTATGAGAACTTACTGTTTTTTTTTCCAGGATGACCCCGATGCCCATGAAAAATTTGTGCGGCTAAATCGTGCTTATGAAGTACTGAAGGATGAAGACCTCAGGAAGAAGTATGACATGTATGGAGAGGAAGGACTGGATGAAAATAGGTTTGTTGAGTTTTTCTTTTCAAAGTTAGTAGAAAATTAAGCATACTTGATTTTTTGTGTGTGAAATTTATTAGAGGCTAGAATAAGGGCTGTTTAGAAGGTAGTGCAGACTTTCAAATGAATAGATAGATTTTTGAAGGTTTTTTGACAAGCATACATGGGAAACTATTTTTCTAGGTAGTCACCTGGGACTTACAGGCCCATATTACAAGTATGTGACAAGTTTTAGGATTCACTTATTATATACATCTACTGCCTCCTCATTCAGAAGCTAGGTAAATTTGTCTAGTGATGTGGAGCTGCTTATTGTTGTGGAGGTGGTTCACACCACTCGATAATAGAGCTCTCCTGCATTTCTGGATGATCCTTATAATTGTTTAGTGCCTAGTGCCTTTTTTGGTCATAGTAAAAGGTTGTCTATATTTCTGAATGAGCTGGTGGCAGACGTGAATGAAGAATAAATCCAAGAGACTTATGACCTATTATATCTTAGTCCAAAAACTGATTTTACTTTCTTGTATAAAGAGATAACATAAGGTTATTAAATTTACTGTTAGTTCTATCTGCAAATCAGAAAAAATGAAACTGTTTCATACCATGAAGTAAAAGCTAGTATGAATAAGAACAGCAGGGAAAGCATGAATGTTAATGGTAATATGAATGTTATTTTCAGGTCGTCTGGGAATCAGTATCATTCTTGGAGCTACTATCATGACAATTTCGGCATATATGATGATGACCCAGAAGTTGTTACCCTCAACAAGGCAGACTTTGGTATGTTATTCCTGGCCATATGTGAATGGTATTTATATGTTATTTTTTCTAAAATGGATCATAAATTTTATATATATATATATATATATATATATATATATATATATAATTTATTTATTTATTTATTTATTTATTTTTTAATTGATTGATTGAGCACAGCCATCACTTTGGAATAACTTGTCATCATCGTCATCATCATTATCATCATTAACATCATCGTCATCGTCATCAATAAGAATCTCCTCCTCCTCATTGTGAACAAAACATGACAATGTACAGTTAACAAGAAGTAACTGTCTACAATTGACACCTGCCTATGGGGTGTGATAGTGTGGATAATAAATAAGATAGGGAAATCCAATGCTCTTAAAGTCTTGATAAAGTGCATGTTGTTTAATTTGATAATTCTTTCCCTAGAGATGAAGACTGATTATTAAAAACACCAACAGCATTTATTATAAATAGTATCTACATATAATATCAGTAGCTTATTCTTTCATTAATAAATCCCATTTTTTTTTTCAACAGAGCAAAGTGTCACTGGATCGGAAGACATATGGTTTATCAATTTTTACCACCCAATGTGCTCTCACTGCCACACCCTGGCTCCAGTGTGGCGTGAAGTGGCTCGGGACCTGGAGGGGGTAGTGAGAATCGGTGCCGTGAACTGTGATGATGAATACCACCTTTGTTCCTCTCAGGGTATTCGATCATACCCAACACTCATCTCCTATCCTGGGGTAAGGCAAAGGAGATCGGTATGAAAAGCTGATATGTATGGTTGTTGTTTTTGATGCTAGGAGCAATAGATATCTGTAAAATATTGGTTGCAGGTGTCTATTCTGAATGTGATAGAAATAAATTAACCTTTATTGATTGTGCTGCTATATAGATTTAAGAAAATAGATAGGCAAGTTCAAAATTTTGAGGGTTAGGAAAGCAATTATAGAAATGAATCTTTTATTTTGATTTAAAACTGATATTTACAAAACTAATCATTATAATGTTTTATTTCCAGAGAATCTTCTATAGGCAAGAGAAGAGTAAGGAGAACCTAATTGACTTCATGCTAAAACAAGTGCGATCATCCGTCATCACTCTGCAGAAATCAAACCTGGAGTCCATTTTAGAATATGAAGATTACAAGAGCAGGCCATGGCTTGTGATATTTTATGAGGACACAGATGAAGTGGATGACTTGTGGATTACTCAGAAGAAACTGAGTGCTATATTTGTAAGTGCAAGTTTGTAGATTTGTTTGTATATGTGTGTGTAATTAAATGGCATTGATTATGATTGATACTTTAGTTAGAACATGTGTATATGATTGACACCTTAGTTAGAACATGTGTATATTTTACCAAATATTTGGCAATATTTCCTAGTATATGAAAAAAACAAAAAACAATTATTTGCTTCTCTCTCTCAAAGGATGGAATTGTGAACTTCGGACGTGTAGAGTGTTTTCAGCAGAAGAGCCTGTGCTCCTCCCTGGGCATGAAGTCAGGGCTGAAGTTCTTTGAAGTTGACCAGATCAGGAAGGGCCAAGGCACAGTAATCCCCAGTCTGAATGTACAAGAAATTGCAAAGGAAGTTTTAGCCCTGCTACCTGAAATGAAGAAGTTGGATGAGGAGACATTTAAGGTTAGTGTTGCTGGTTATTAAATAGACATTGAAATTATAGTAAATTATTGGACTGTAAGATTTAAAACTAAGTAAAGTATTAGTTTTTAAATTTTGGAAAAGAGTAAATTGTGTGAACTGAATGTAGACTAAGATAAGTAATATTATGCTAATGGGGATATTGTTTTTGTGAAAGGTTATTTTGTATTAGATGTTTCTGTTATTCGCTTATAGGAAAATTGATGCCTTACATAGACTGATTGAGAAAACTTCTTCAAGAGGAAAGAGTAATGCAATTGAAGTGAGGAGAAGTGTGTTCATCAGTACAGGATGATTTAAGGAGTATAATAGGCACCACTTAATTAATGCACATCTATTTCCATTTTATTTATACATGTAACCATTTAATATGCCTTAAAAATGTGCATATAGATATATTATTTTAGATGAAAACTTCCCCTAGTTTTAAGTCCCTGTGTTATTTTGTGAATTTGTATTGCAGAATATCCGTCGCAACCTAGAAATGCGAGAAGAAACAGTGGCCTGGTTGATGCACTTTAGCAGTGACAGTGATGATGATACATTTGAGGTGAGAGTAAAGGATGGTTGTGAAATGTACTAAGGAGAAAGACAGAGAGAAAGAGAGAATAAATGAATAAGAGTCAAGATGTGATGTGTAAGGAATAGACAAATTACTTTTAAGCTTTAGCCTGAATCTTACTTTATACATCATAGAAAGAAACAGTGATTATATAAACAATGAAAATGGTTAATACTGAAATTTTTTTGGACTTGGTAAGTACCTGATAAAGATAATTTTGACACGGATGTTTAGAAATAGATATATCTTGAACTCTGAGGTCTTTTCTGCACATAATGCACCTGCAATATGGAAAACAATGTAAACATAGATATTGCAGAAATGTCAAACTCACCTCGTCATGAGGTTTCCTTCTTTATTTCCCACTCTTCCTTTCATTATGGAAAACTGCATTCCCATTTTCCTTTTCAGATCCGCAAATTACCCGGCTTGCTTCCATCGTTGAAGATGGGCCAGGTGGATTGCTCTCTGCTAAAAAAGCTCTGTGATGATCTATACATTGCTAAAACGCCAACCTTTATGATTTTCAAGCCTGGTGGAGGATATGAGTTACATCATGTAAGTTTTGGATTTTTGACTGCAAGGCTTTTTGCTTTGTTGTCTGTTCAAGGAGAGGATAGACAAGCTTGAATGTTTGTGGTTCTGAGGGGTGAATATGTCATCAATCACTCACATTTGTTTATTTGTTTATTCATTCTGATTCTCTCATGTAATTGTTCTCTAGTACACATGATATTTCACTCTCTTAACATGTAAACTAGTGTAGTAATCTCCCATTCACTCCCATGCTCATCCAAACAGGGGCGTCTGCTGGCCCACGACATTGCAGTGTTTGCTCGAGAGGGAGCAGCTGCCACACGATTCCAGATCCTGACTCCAGAGGAGTTTCCTAAGGTCCTGACAGATGGCTCTACATGGTTTGTGGATTTCTATGCTCCTTGGTGCCCTCCGTGTATGAAGCTACTACCAGAGTTTCGTAAAGCTAGCCGGTTGGTGGAGACCCCAGTGAAGTTTGGTAAGCGTTTTTTTATTGTTTGTTGTTTTTGAAGTTGTTTATGGAGAATAATGTTTAAGGTATTGATTTTTGTTTCCTTGTTGCTGTTAGTTGTACTACCTTTAATTTTACTCTTATTTTCTCCAACATTTCAGGAAGCATTGATTGCACTACACACCAAAGTTTGTGTACAAGGTTTAATATTCATCAGTATCCAACTACAATTTTGTACAATCAGAGTGTTCCTCATGAGTACAGTGGATACCACACTGCAGATCAAATTGTAGAATTTGTTAAGGACACACTTAACCCAGCAGGTGACTTGAATTATCTACTTCTATTTTTTCTACTTAACCTTTTTAAATGCATATCATGTCATTTAGAACAGGATTCTCAGAATATATTAGTAGACAAGTTGATGATAATGATACTAACATTCATAAAATGTATTTTGCTATTTAGGATATCCAAGACCTAGAACAAGTGTAGAATTGGTGATAGATGAATAGATGAGAAGTATGTCATTATTTTATTCTACTTGCCCTGTATTATTAAATAAGTTTGTCTTAAAATACAACAGTCATTCTTATAAATTTGTTCTTTGTTAGCCTAGAAAAAAATAGGCAAATGTTTTTTTATAAGTGTGTTTTTTGTCTTGTTGTTTGTTTAGTAGAAGAAGAGCTAAGACATGAACTGGTTTATGCCTGATATCACTATTATTTCCTCCTAATAGTTATATCACTAGACGAAGACAAGTTTGACAACCTGATTGAGAACAAACCTCAAGGCGAGCTGTGGGTTGTTGACTACTTTGCCCACTGGTGTGGACACTGCAAAGAAATGGCGCCCGAATATCGGCGTTTTGCACGTATAATGGCTGATGTGCCTAATGTGCATATTGCCACCATTGACTGTGCCAACTTTCGATCGGCCTGCTCTCGACAGGGTATAACAAGCTATCCCTCAATTGTGCTGTACCCATCTGGAAGTGTGGGAACAAGGAGAGCTGAGTAAGTAGGATATTGGAGAACAGATAACTCCATTTACTTGAAAGCTTTAATGTTATTTATTCATATGTGTAATTACTTTAGATTTGTGTTTAGCTCTGTCAGTTGGTAAGGAAACTTTATTTGAAACTTTTCTTTTAATCTTAACTAAATAATATAGGGCTTCTTTAAAACTTCTTGAATATGTATGGACCTTCTGAAAATTTGGGATGCTTAATAATTATATTTTCAACATGCAGGAAATATAATGGTTGGTCCAGAGATGCAGATTCCTTTAGACAGTGGGTGTATTCGAGGATGTCGTCTATGGTCACAGTCCTGAATGACAGGTCATATGAGCAAATACTTCATAGTAGTGAACCTTGGCTTGTTGACTTCTATGCCCCTTGGTGTGGGCACTGCCATGTGTTTGCTCCAGATTTTGAAGATATTGGAAGGGTAAGTAGAGACCAATGTATTGTCTACATAGTTTATATAGTTAGTGTATATGTGTTGGATTATTTATATTGATTTCTTAATGTTCAGAATTACAAATCATTAGATATATATTTTGGAATAAGGAGGCAGTTCATGTTAAGAGTATAATTGTACTATATTTAATTTCCAGGCCTTACAAGGGACAGTGAAGGCAGGGAAACTTGACTGTGAGAGGTACCGGTGGGTTTGCAGTGGTGCAGGTGTGAATGCCTACCCTACAGTAAAGCTCTATGTTGGGTCACCGAATGGAGGTCGCCAAAATGTTAATGGAATAAACTTTCCTAGCCTGAACAAACATACTATATTGTCAAATATTCCAAGATATTTACCAAAGAATAGTAAGAAACATGACGAATTGTGATGTGGAGTTGTGCATCGCACAAGACAGAGTTATTGCCCAAATGGATCATATATATTTTTAGCTTTAATATTTTCTTATTAAACACATTTTTCATGAATGGATGAGAATGAAACAGTAAGTGAAAGTGTGTGCCATACTTATGACAGGAAGAGTTGATTAAGCATTTTTTGCAATATCTCCAATCGATCAAATGTTTGATGTGTATTGTTCTCTTTTTCCTTGTGTAGAATGCAGAGTAAATTTTCCAATAACTTCTGTAATTTGAGTAGATATTCTGTAATGGAAATTTGATTTTCATGAAAACCATTTCAGTTTCTTGGAGAAAATAATACTGGTACTATGTCAGTTGATTAGTTTTCATTATTTTTTTTTAGATGACCTTTTCATCATTATCATAGTAATTAGCATTTATTTGAATGTATGAGAAATAGGTTTGTGGATGACAGACATCATTAATATATTTTCAAGTGCATGTTCATTCCATATGCTTCAGAGTTAATGTTTTGTGATGGGTCATTTCTTAAACAAGTTCCTTATATGAGAAACAATACAAGAAAAAGTTTATCACAATACCAACAGGGCATGGTTGTAAGAGATAATGTATTAAATCAAAGCCAAACTTTCATAAAACCTCTCTTATGTAACAGTAATTAATCCAAACTGTACTTAGGGCCTGTAATGTATTCTGATGTACTTAGGTTATGTTAAAATGATTTCAGCTGAAGTCAGCATTAAAAAATCTAATATGTTACTCTATTGAGGTTTGCTGTTGTATGAAGCCCTCCCATCAACAGAATGATTGTGTTAGGTTCTTAAGTAAAAACCTTTTCTAACAACAACAAAGAAGAAATGAAGAAATTAAGTTAAAGTAAATATATTTTTTTGTAATAGGAATCTCAGTTTATCTACCAATAAGAGAAAGGAAAAACAAATGATAACAGGAATAACTTACAGTTCATTGGGATAGAAGTTCGGTGACAGTATAGAGGTCTACCACCTTTTGCGAACTGACTGTTTTTTGGGTTGTTTTATTTTCTTAGCTATGGTTTATCTCAAGCCATCACTGATTGGTGACAGTTTCAAAGAAATAGATAGACTGGTATAAGGATGTTATAACAATAGCTTCATGCAATTTAGATATGTTTTACAGCTTACTGATGGGAATATGCTTCACTAGTAACACATTTCTTATGAACTGAGTTTATTCAGATTAAATGTTGATATTGTTATTTACTTTGAAGAGGGAAAACATGTAAAACATCTAGTCTACAGCGCATTTACAGCTTTCTAGTCTTTTTTTTCTGCAAGCGCCTTCTTCATCACACAAATGAAATACAGGATTTAGAAACAGTGTCACTTTGTTCAGTCTTTTGTGTGGAGTTTGATTACAAGAGAAAATGGTTAGTTAGGGGTAGTTTGTATCTTGGTTGTATGCAGTTTGATTTATTTCGTTTTCTTTTTTTTCTGTCCTTAAAATATTGGCAAATGTTTGTACAATATGAGTGGATTATCTCTTCCCCATACTATGAATTTCCAATTCCCCTACAGAAGCCTACAAAACGTAGCTGGTTATAAACTCATTTCCAAGTGAATACCGGTTGTTCAGCTAAAAAGCAATTGGGACACACATTATATCTTGTTTATGTTTTAAGGCTAAAAGGTGCTATTAAATTATGATGGTTTCAATGAGTTTTCAGCTGTTTTATTTCTTATAGATTTATTTTTATTTCTGATTAGCATTTAAAGCAGTTTTCAACTATTTCATTTTTTATATTATTATTATTATTTATTTCTTTTTCCAGTAATGAAATAGTTTATATTGTTTGTTTAATTATGTTAGTAAGCAAGTATTTGGAACTCTTACTGTATTTTATTGAAACATATTTTGAGGCAGATTGAAAAATATTAAAGGTTTGTATGCACATAGATTAATTTTATTTAAATACTTGAAGCAAGTGATTATGTCTGTAATTATCATGTCTGGTATTTGATATCACATTCTTTGAATCTCCTATTTATTAATTTTATTCAAATACTTAAAGATTATGATGATGACCAACTTTTGTAATTATTTTGATATTATGTATACGTCTTATTTATTGTTTGATATTTTTTTGGTATACAGAAAGTACATCTTCAAGTTAGCTAAGTGTATGACAAGGTTAGTATTACTGAATGTGACTTCAATGTTTAAAGAAAAAGTGTAAAAGTTCAACTCTGGAAATCATATCACTTCCAATCTTCTCATTTCATTTTTCTACTTACTCATTTTACCCGCAGATTACAAACAAATACCCTGTGATATAAATACTTAACATGGAATGTGTAAGTGATTGTTCATGGTCTTAATTTAACATTCTATGCATTTGATATAATGCAACTAATGTGGTAGAAGTCTAGCAATTTTTTTTTGTTTTGTTTTTGTTATGCTAATGTAATTGGATTTATATTTTTGTTCTTTGTTAATCTGTTTCTCAGTGTGTAAACCCTGAACAATCAAGATTTCAGAAATCTGTTTTTATGTTTATATTTTATTTAACACTTACATTTATAATCAAACTGGCTGCTATGCTTAAATCTACATATGTCCTTACAATTACATTTATCCTTATCCTTAAACTTTATACTTAAACTTGTGCTCACCCACACACCAACCAACCAACCAACCAACCAACCAACCAACCAACCAACCAACCTACCTACCTACCTACCTACCTACCTACCTACCTACCTACCTACCTACCTACCTACCTCCCTCCCTCCCTCCCTCCCTCCCTCCCTTCCTTCCTTCCTCCCTCCCTTCCTCCCTCCCTCCCTCCCTCCCTCCCTCCCTCCCTTCCTCCCTCCCTCCCTCCTTCCCTTCCTCCCTCCCTCCCTCCCTCCCTCCCTCCCTCCCTTCCTCCCTCCCTCCCTCCCTCCCTCCCTCCCTCCCTCCCTCCCTCCCTCCCTCCCTTCCTTCCTTCCTCCCTCCCTCCCTCCCTCCCTCCCTTCCTCCCTCCCTCCCTTCCTCCCTTCCTCCCTCCCTTCCTCCCTTTCTCTCTTTCTCTCAACCACTTCGGCACATACCTACCACTATCGGCCAACACCCACATATATATATACATGAATTCAAAAAGAACTTATAATGGAGATTACCTTTCTCTCTTAGTGTGGCTAACAGTTATGTTTCCATCAATGTGCTCTCTAGAGGCAGAGGGGTTTAAATAGTCAATGGTTTGAATGCACTGTTGATTTCTGTATATTGCACTACTGTCTTTCCATCTGGTATTCTTGGTACTGGTACCAGATATTTTGGTATAATGTATGACTGTAATTGCCGTATTAGTCAGACAGTTAGCAGAAAGAATGAAAAGGTGTATCTCCTTTTGATGCTAATGTTAAATTGTGTAAGTTATGATTATAAGAAGTTATATTTTTTTGCACAATCTGCAAATTTTTGTTCCTACTTTGATATCGACCGTTGTGCTATGTCATTGTTAGATATGGACTCATAAATGATTGCAAGAAACAGTGGTATTAATATCCTTTTTAAGATTGTTCAAAATGTTATGCTCGGGATTTTTTTTTGAGAGATGATATGTATATGTATTTTAAAATCTCTCTCTATTTGTACTTATTTGAAGAAACATGTGAATAAAAAATAGAAAAATGTGTGATAAACTAAGATATTATAATGTTAAAAAAACTTGGAAGTACTCTCGAATAATCATCATAAAAATAGACATATTCTAAATAATAATATATAGTAGTATCCTGTACTATGTATAATGGGGTAACTAAGAGCAAGACAACCGCTCAATTTAGGGAGTCTGGTGTCATATTTTTGTACTAAATAAAATGTACACACCGTTTGGGCAACATTACAGGAAATGTCTGCAGAAACTGACGCTCTGAGACTAGTCCAGCCAAGATCGAGAGCATGTATTCTCTCGGTCTTGAGTCCAGTCGTACTTCGCCTCGCAGCGAACAACTTAACTGTTTGTGTCGGTACGAACAATTATTGTTACTTTAAATGCACAGTACTGTTAGTACATTTATCTAATTTTATTATCAAATATGAGTGCTTACTAAATATAAAATGCTATTTTACTTCGTGCATTATATTATTATTGCGTTTTTTAAAGAGAATAACTAAACTACCATCGCTGTGCATGCGTAACCATCTGCCGGCTAATTAGACAATTTGACATTTGTTACCTCGGACCTTATTCCGCTTTTCGGGAAGCAAAGTGTGACGACAGGGCCACTTAAGTTCTCAAATTCGTTTACAATATTGCGGTGAATGTGACCTGTTAATGAAACGGTTTCAATCTCAAGAGTCACAACAAATTATGTGAATTACAAGAACCATGTTCCAGTTGGACATACACAAGCAACCCAACAGAAATCAGAGTTCGTCGCCCTCCCAGGCACGACACGACTTTACCCTTCGCAACAAGGTAAACCGACTTCTGTCCCATGGTCAATTGTGCATTAATAATGGGGCCTTGCTCGTTGTTGTGGGGAGCTTAGCAGACGGAGACTGAATCCCAATGGGTTTTTCTTCCTTTTTCCTTTTCCTTCTCTTTTGCCCTCCTATCCTAATCGTTAACTCACTTCACTCCTTTCCGCCATAATACTTACTATAGTGCCATATGACCTTTGATTTGTAGCACATTTATTTGTTTTAACCATTAACCATTTAGAAGGGGGTTCATTCGTTTGTTCGTATGCTGATCGCTGGTTTGAATCTTCCTTGGCCG